AATTAGTGGCGAAAAAGTTCGCTTCGCGCGAAAAAATTTGCTCCGTGGAAAGCCGCCTTTAATCTACAAGTTTTTCTTTACGAACATCTTTAGAAAATTTTCTTTTCTTTTTTAAATCCTTTAAACTTTTTCGTTGTTTCTCCCTAAAAGCTCCTCCCTAAAAGCATCTCTTTTCCATCTTCCAATTAATCTCCCTAAAAACTAGCATCTCCTTCCCTGCAAGATTTAAATTTTTTTTGCTGGATAACAGATGAAAACTTTTATAATAAGTTTTATCCTATGCATCGTTAAATATTTTAAAAGAGAATATTAAAGTAGACAACGGCTAAACTAACTACAAAAATTGATTTTATAAATACAAATGTCTCTTGAAAAATGAATGTTTTACGATTTACGAGGATGACTTTCGAGGTTACAGGTTTTAGCCGGCGCTATACTGTCGTATTAATTCACTTATTTGTCGTTAAATCAGTTTTAAAAACAATTTTTTTTTATACGTATATACTTCTTCACTCAATCATCTTTCATTTTGTTATTTGTTGTTTTTCTTTACCATGGCTACGCTGGTTTCGATGTTTTTCTGATCAAATTGAATAAGATCTTTATCCCTCAGCCAAAAATGCTGTTATTAATGACATAAACTCGTTTTCCATAAAATCCTATTCAGATACTTTACTCCTTAATTTCTTGCCTCTGACTCTAACTTGTGCTTAGTTTTTTCTTGCTCTCCTTTAGGAGATTTGGATCATGCTATGAATAAAAACTTTTATCTTGTACTTCTTTTGCATCAGATTCACCCTGTAATCACACCCTATTATCGCAATTCTTACTACTACCTTAAGGCTGGCTGAGATTTATTTTGTGACGGTCTATAGTTTCTCTGCCAAAATTGGCGTCTCTATTATATTCTCCTGGATTCAAACAGGAATGAAAACTTTCATTCCTTTGCTTTGGTTTTAAGTCAAGTCTAACTCTACCTAGAGTATTCTTTCTTGCGCAGCAGTTATTTGCAATAATTTTTTTTCTTCATCTTTTCCTCAAGAACAAGTCTTTTAATAATTGCAAATAAAATGATGCATCTTGTATTGTCTGACATCATTTATTCTTAAATTACTAAACCTCGTATCGTTGCTAAAGTTGTTAAGCAACAGAACACTTGAAATCTTCAACAGCTTGTGAACAAAATTTCTGTCACCTTCTTACATTACATTACTTATGTTCTTCAGAAACTCTTGTTTTATCCAACTTTTAAAACTAGAGATGGTTCTACCCTCTTAAACCATCGGCCAACGCCCAAACCATCACCCTGTAATCACACCCACACCAATCAGTCTTCTTACTATTATTAATTCAGATCTCGACTTGTGATAAATATAAAATTTAATTATGCATTTGTTAGACCTTTTAACACCGAGATGTTTCATGGCCTACTATAATTACACGGCCTGATTTGTTGCATTTTCCGTAAAAAATTAAGAGGCCAGTTTTTTTACGGCTTATTTTCTATTATAAGACAACTAACAATATTTAATAATTAAAATAATGTGATTATTACAATTATTATATCAAAGTTTGGTTTATGTTTTCATATTCATGTAGTATATATTTCAGATTATATTCTGACTGATTGTCTGTTTCATTATAATCCATTAGAGAGTGGAATAATAAAATAGACTTACAGACAGTCTACTTGGTATATTGTATACAGTCGAACTGCTTTTTTTTATGCAATGTTATTCAAGTGGAGATAACTTCAATTATAAATGTAAGAAATCTCAATATTATTGTAGTTTTTGAAATTTTTTTTAGTTATAAAAATGGTTAACAAATGTGTTGTCACAAACTGTAAAACTGGTTACTCTACTGGTCCAAAAAAGTCTACATTTCATTTTCCTGAAGAAAGCAGTTTGCGAGAACGATGGATATATTTTGTTAATAGAAAAGATTGGCTTCCATCTAAATACTCTGCTATTTGTATTGATCATTTCGAGGATAAATTTATTAAATATTGGAAAAGATGCACCATGAAATGGGGTCTCCAACCTGTTCCAACTATTCACACAGATAAAAAAAGTAGTTCATCAACTTTAAGGGTGCCAAAGTTGCCTAGAAAAGAACCAACTTTAAGATACTTGGGAAAAGATGAGTTCAGTGATTTTCAAAATATTGATAAAATAATTAGCCTTAATTCATTAAAAGAACAGCATTGCCCACCAGGATTTACATTTAAGAAACTTCACGATAGTGTTGTTTTCTTTTACGTTTTAAGTGTTGTTTTCGATAGTGTTGTTTTCTATAAACTCTGTTTTGATGAAATATCAGGTATACCAACTGTGTTTGAGTCAATAACAGTTAATAAAGATCTTAATGTTTCATTGTCGTATAAAGGATATCATATTTCTTTACCTGAATGGTTTCGCAGTGGTCATAATTGCAAATTAACAAACTGTAGTATGATAGAAAATTTTCCTGCCTATATTCGAAATAAAGCTAATGCTTTTAATTCAATTTTGACAGAGCTAAATGAAATAAGATACTATTCTCCACAAGGCAGACCTCCATATTCTGCTTCCGTTATGCATTAATTTTACGTCACACTTCAGCACAGTCATATAAGTTGTTATTAGAACAATTACCCTTACCATCTTTTAGTTTATTAAGAAAAATTCAAAGTGGTGATATAAATGCATTTAAGGCTATAAAAGTTTTGTTACAAAAAAATTGTGTATCAAGTGACTGTGTGCTTCTTGTGGGTGAGATGTATTTGCAAAAAGCAGCCCAATATCAAAATTGGAAATATGTTGGTGAAGATTCAGAAAGTAATCTTTATAAAGGTGTTGTTGTTTTTATGATTGTTGGGCTTCAAAAATCTATTCCTTATGTTGTGAGATCATCACCTGAAGTGTATATAATAGGTTCATGGTTAAAAAAAGAAATTGATGAATGCACTATCTCATTGCACCAATCTGGATTCAAAGTAAGAGCTGTTGTTGCAGATAATCATTCTACCAATGTTAGTGCATTTTCAGAGTTTCATAAAGCATATAATGGAGATGGAAAGTTATTTATATGTCATCCAGTTTACAATGGAGTATTAAAAACATACTTGTTGTTCGATATAATCCATTTAATAAAAAATGTTAGAAATAACTTGTTAAATGCAAAAAAATATGTTTTTCCTTTTTTTTCATTTGATTTGTTTAAAGACAAAGTTGAAGTTCCTGCTGGTTACATAGCATGGAGTTTATTTCATAATATCTATGAAAAAGATCAGTTATTAAACGGCAACTTAAAAAAAGCAAGAAAAATCAATTATCAGGTCACTCATCCTGGAAATAACAAACAAGATGTCAACCTTGCATTGGCAATATTTGATGAAACAACTACAGCTGCAATACTAAGTTATTTTCCTGAAAGAAATGATTCAGCACAATTTTTATCATTGTTTCATAAGTTGTTCATCACACTTAATTCAAAGCAGAAATTTAATACATCCAATCAACTTGGCAATGCTGCCCTGAAGGGTGATAACAAGCCCACATTTTATAGAGAAATTGCGAATTGGATTGATATTTGGTCAAAATGTGATTATTTCACATTTTCCAAACAAACTTCTCTTGCTCTTATTACAACATTACGGGCAACTGCATCTCTTATCGATGATTTGCTTGAAGAAGACTATACATATGTTCTTACTTCCAGGTTACAAAGTGATCCTTTGGAGCTACGTTTTAGTAAGTATAGACAAATGAGTGGTGGCAGATTTCTAGTGAGTCTTTTAAAAGTATGCAATAGTGAAAAAATTTTGGCAGTAAGAAGTCTTCTAAAGGAAGATATTAATTTCTGGGAAGAAAATATTTATCAGACATTTGATAATTCTAGTTTAGAAAATATTATGCAAGAAATTGATTCGTTGTCTACAGAGATTTTAGAGTGTCAGCTTTCTGAAAATAGCATGGAAGTTGCTGTTACAATAGCAGGGTATGTCGCAAAAAAGTTGAAAAAAAAATTTGGATGTCATACTTGTAATCAAAATATGGTTTCTACAGACCAAGATATTCTTAATAACGAATACTCGAAAATATTATCCAGAGGTGGACTTATATGTCCAAGTCAACCTCTGTCTGATTATATGTCATCTTTTTAGTATTTTAGATGTCATATCTCCTATTTTAATAAAACATTGCAGTTATTCTTTTTCAATTAAAAGTTTTGCAGAACAAATTTTTAAAAATTATTACAGCAGTGTTGATTTTACTTGTGACAATCACCAAGAGTTGGGTATAAAATACGGATCTCGTATCGTTATAAATATCTTTTATAACAATTTGCAAAAAGAAACAACTGATTCAGTAAGAAAAGATCAGGTGAAACAATTTAAAAAAAGACAGAGAACCAATAATAATTCCTAATAAAAAGCTATTTCTTTTATACTGTTTGATTCAATTATAATAAAAACAATATAACAAACCTTTGATTTTATTTCCACTAAAGATTTGTAGATGGTCTTTGCAACATGTAATGTTATTTCAAGTACCATGTTTATATACAGCTATCTGAAAGCCTATTTCAGTATTCTGTTTTACTGGAATAAACTGAAGCAGGCAATCAGTTAGCGAAAAATCCAGTATAACATAATGTAACTACACCAAGAAAAACAGAGTCATTTTTTCCAATTTTAATAAAATATGTATAAAACTTTCACAATGCTAACAGAAGAACTCAAGCTTTCAAACGTTAGCCGTAAAAAAACTGGCCTCTTAATTTTTTACGGAAAATGCAACAAATCAGGCCGTGTAATTATAGTAGGCCATGGATGTTTTTGACTAAAGAAGATTGAAGAAGTGGTTAAAAAACTCAACTGCTTAATCATTACTTAGAAGAAAATATTCTTTTTTAATATTTTGACAAATGATAATTTTCACAATATCAAAAAAATAATTAAAGCATTAAAAATTATGTCTGTATAAAAAAATTACTAGATATTGGAAGAGTCATAGTTTATATGAAAGTCCTTGTTAATTCTTTATTTTTCGTGACTATATTGACGAATACATATTTTAGATAACGCAATGGTAAGGTAACATAATGGAATCTAATATCCTTAATGCTATTTATTGCACATCATTTTCTTCGTTTTCATTTAGAGAATTACAATACTACATAATCGAACATCCAGGAGTGTCTTTGCAGGATGACGCAGTATCGTCACTCTAATAAAAGAATGAAAAATAAACTTGTTATATAACAATAAACAGTTGCTTTTACAAGCAAATAATAAAGATATGTATGTATGTATAATAAAGATATGTAAGATATGTATGTATAATAAAGATATGTATGTTCGTGTAATAAATATATGTATGTATATATTTTTGACATAATTATTTTATAAAAAAGCTTAGAAACTCAAAAAATATTTTTTTTTTCTTCTAAAATTTTTACTAATTTTTAAGAAACCTAATTTTAAACACTTTAAATTTAAATTAACAAAATTTCAATGAAATATCAATGATATATTGTTAAAAATTTATAATATTTTAAATAACAAAAAATGATTTCTGTTAAATCTTTTTCTGAAAGATTCTAAATATTTAATGACAAAAGATTCTAAATATTTAATGACAAAAGATTCTAAATATTTAATGACAAAAGATTCTAAATATTTAATGACAAAAAAAAAGTGCTGAATCAAGACCTATAATAAAATCTAAATTTATGTTCTTAAATATTTATCTTATATATTAACTTATGTTCTTAAATATTTATCTTCAGTAACACGGCGGGTATCCAACTATATAAAATTTGAAAGACAAATTCAAAAGAGAGGCGCAAATTCAAGAGAGACACAAATTCAATAAAAAGTATTTAGAGAGTGGTTAATTTTTAAGCATTTTTAAAGCAATAAAAATAACATAAGCATATTGATAAGTGAAAAATTACCATTTGGGACATCATATCTGCAGGAGGGTGACCATACTTTTGCATCTATATATATATATTAAAGAAAAGAAGTGAGAAATGATGTTTTTTATTTTCTTAGAATGTTTATATTTTATTAAATATAAACATTCACAAATTAAAAACAAAAATTTTTCCTAATTCAAATTTAAGATTCAAAAAATTCTATTAAAACAACTTTCAATCAAGAATCATACCTGCTGCATGAGGTCAACAACTTTTCCCATTCTTATTTTCTTGACAGATGGACTATCAGAAGCGGTCTCTTCCTCAAACAGTGTACATAATTGTTTTATAATAGCTTCCTGTTTTACATAATTTTCAAATTCAGCAGAAGAAATTTTCAATCTGTTAGTTTCAAGCCAATCAGGATACTAATAATATAAAAAAATATATAATAATAAAAAAATCAATAAAAAAAAAAATAATTAAAAATTAAATTGAAAAATCAATATTATTTTGAACAACTTTATTATCTATGTTAAATAATAAAATTTTAATAAACTTGTTTGAATATTTTAACAAATATAATAGAGTTGTAAAAAGTAAACACATTTGAATATTTTAACAAACATAATAGTTGTGATAAATAAACACATTTAAATATGTTAACAAATATAATAGTTGTAATAAGTAAACACATTCGAATTTAGGTTGACATTGTTCTAATATATTTTAAGCACTTGAGCTTTTATAAGATTAACAAAGTTTTCTAAACATTGGAGATGTGTATTAAAAAGTGTATTAAAAAAAAAATATTCATTTTGGGCAGTGCTAATTGCATCAGACTACTGTCCTGTAGAAGACTTCCTTGGTAAAGACTTGAAAAGTATATAGAAAACTAGCCTCTCACCTTTTTTTATTTAATAGGCTGAAATAGATGCAAACCTGTGTTTTATTCTCTCCGGCCTAGAATGATGAACCTTTTGACTAGTGGATTTTTCTTTTACTCTACTCAAAAATTTTTGTTAGGGTTTCCTTGTTAGTGGCTATGCAACTCTTTAAGTTATCTTCTGATGAGGGTAACGCTCTAAAACTCAGTTTAATCCTTCTGAGGCAAACTGGTGTAAAGGTTTTGCAAACACTGAGGTAGCTCTTAGAGAGGCTAATTCCATTAACAGCTGTAAAATTTTATAATATGTAAAGTGCCATGTTGCACATGGAATGTGCCCCTGTTAATGCTTTTAAGCTATTTCTATCTCTAATCTAATTTTATCTTTAGAATAAGAACAACTTTCTGGAGAAAAAATATCTTTCATTATGCTAGAAATTGATGGAAAAGGGTACTCTCTAATGCTATGTTTTTTAGTAGAATATGATTCGTTAACTTTAAACTATGATAATTACGTGTTATTTAATTGAAAATTATGTTAATACTGTTCCTTAAAAAATGACATATTTTTACTTGGCTTTAACTCCAGCTTTATTATAACTCTTTGTTCTAAATAAGCACAGCTTTATTGCGTGCCAACAAAGTTGTGTTTACATATAAACAATATATATAAACAAATTTGTTATATGCAAATGTAAAAAACTCATTTATATACAGGATTGTGTGCAATATAAGAACATTTATTACACTTAGGAGAGAATTATAACCGTCAGAAACTGACGATAGCAAACTAAACCACTGAGCTATTGAGGCATTTAGGAGAAAAACAAATTATTCTAGAATATCTTATAAGCTCTATGTATACAGAAAAGGTGCAAATGTTAATTTTTTTGGTTTTAAAGCAACTTTTTAGGAAAAATTGCTTTAAAATCAAAAAAATTTATATTTTACTATTTATTATAAAATGTTTTTTGCTCATAATTTGAATTTTAATAATTTAGACAGAAAATTTTAAATTTAGTTAAAATAGAGGTGTTATCAGTTGTTTTTTTTAATAATTACTTATTTTATTAGTGACTTTATAAATTTTATCTTCATTTCCATTTTTAGTTTCATCACAACTCTAATAATTCTTACACAAATTGATATTTACAGCTCATCTTAGCTTCTAAATCATCCTTATCTTAGCTTTTAAAGTTAAGATGTTTTACCTTGTAGAAAAGCATGTGAGTAAATAATTATCAAAGCAAAATTTATTAAATTAGATTATTTAAATGTTTTTAATTAGAAGGATCGTGCAATTTATATTATGCTTCATTATAGTCTGTTTGAATATTTTAAAATCAACTTCTTTTATTTAAATATATTTATAGTTTTACCTTTATTATCGCAAAATGGACTTTCATACACATATTTATGTATACATGTCATTACAACTTTAAGAAGCATAGCACATTTATATACATATGAAATAAGAGTATATACATATATACATGAAATAAGAGTATATATATATATATATATATATATATATATATATATATATATATATATATATATATATATACTAGGGCTGTACCGAATTTCGGCTCCGGCTCCTGCTCCGGCCGAAATCCGGCCATTTTTACAAATCTGGCCCAAATCTGGCTCCGGCAAAATGTTAGCAAATCCGGCATAATTTTGGCCGGATTTCTGGATGTTTATTACATCTTTCTTACCCGTGATAACATGTATACATAATACTTAATTTTTGAACTTCATGTTTGTTTTGGTATCTGCATTTACATTTTTTTACAATTTAATTAGCTAAGCCTAATTTCAAACAAGAACGCAACAAAAAATTCTGAAGAGAAGACACACGATATTCTGCAATAATGCAGGTGTAAAGACTATGAAGTCAATCCTAATCAACTCATTAGATGAGCGTTTCAAAGGCATTGAGGAGAAACCTTTTTAGATTGAAAAAATAAAGAAAATCCAGCAAAACAATCCCGGCTGGATAATTCTTATACATTATCATTATTACAATGGCAATATATATAGATGAAATTATTCAGTCTACGCCCGCTTGTGGCACAGCACATGAACAAGAATTACCAACAGGCATTGACACTCGGCTAAGCTAATATCTGGAAGAATCAGAAATATATAGACACACTGATTCACTACAGTGGCGGAGTGACAACATACCGGGAAAAAAAGTTCTGTAGAATTTCTCTAAATTTTTGAAACATATGGCGTATAGAAACTCTATAAAATTTATATAAAATGTCTATTAATTTCTATAGAAATTGCTATAAAACTTTTAAACAACAAAAATGATGTTTAATAGAAAACAACCCGACGGGCATTTGTTTTTAAAAGTTACGTTCTGAATGTGTTTTAAATGTCTTTTAAACGTCTTTTAAACATTAATGTTTAAAAGACGTTTAAAAGACATTTAAAATACATTTAGATCGTAACTTTTAAAAATGCCCGTCGGGAACTGTCACTTGGTGATCTAAATAGTCAACATTGTTGACCATTTTCAACACCAAGTAGGGATATACAGGATTTTGGCTCCTGTAGTTTTGCTTCGAAATCCGGCTCCGGCTCCGATTCTGGCCGGATCTGTTAGTAAAAATCCGGCAAATCCGGCTCCGGCCGGATTTGGAAAAATTAAATCTGGTACAGCCCTAATATATACACATAAAATAAGAGTATATACATATATATATTCTTGTTTATATATACATATAAACTAAATGGCCAATGCATCGGCATTGGTCTGCCAATGCATCGGCATTGGTCTGCCAATGCATTGGCCATTTAGCCAATGTATCAGCATTGGCATTGGTCTTGATAACCATCGGCCGACACTGATTGTTTCAAAAAATCAGATTTTTTATTTTTGTGTTTCTATATTGTGTGCAAAAATGTAATATATCCAGAAACCAAAATGCATATATAAGCCTAAGTTATTATATAGGCATATCTGCAACCACTAAACCTTTAAATATTTTCTGGAATGCTTCTTTATAAGGAGCTCTCTGCATAGATCCAAACTATACAAGTGATAAAAACTAATATATATATATATATATATATATATATATATATATATATATATATATATATATATATATATATATATATATATATATATATATATATATATATATATATATATTAGGGTGGCAATTAAAACAGCTTTTTTGAGAAAAACCTGCTCCCACCCCCTAAATGTGTTCTATCTAATACAAAAACAGTAGGTTTAAAATTTTTTTTAATAAAAAATATTTTAAGGGGTCCCTCAAGACCCTCGAATATTGAATTAGTCCTAATATTTTCAAAAAAAAAAAGTTTTTCAAAAGTATGTAAACCTGGTACTCAAATAAAGCAAAATTATATAAAAATTTCAAAAAATCTGTTCATTAAAAAAAAATTTTAACTTATTAAAATTATCTTAAAAAAACATAAAAAATGCATTTTTTTTCATTTTTTGTTAAAATGAATATTATTTTTGAAATTTTTATATAATTTTGCTTCATTTGAGTACTTTGATTTATAAGCAGAGAAGAGTTGGAACGAAGAAACGACATTTAGATGAGCTTACAATTGATGAGAGAAAAAAAGATACCCAAAAAAATTTTGTGGTTAATACTTACCTAGTATCATTCGACTCTGTGGTAACCACAAAAAAGAATTGATTTCAAAAGTTCATGAAGATTGCTTCAATGTTCAAATGTTTAATCCAAAGCATTATGAGGATGAGGATAGTTTAGAACTTATCAATTTCTCTCAGAGCAATATCCGAATTATATCACAATTCTGGATAATGTTGTTAAAGAATTTCTTTTATTCAAAACTCTTTTTAAAGAAACGGACACGGAAGAGTTGAACATTAATAATGTGTGAAAATTTGAATTTAGGGCTGATGCCGATGGATTGGCTGTATCAATTGGCATCTGACAAAAGTAAGAAGGTTCTTATAAGCCTAAAGTATGCGGAAAGAAGCAAAAAAATTAATTTGAGTTCTTTACCCCCATTTAATATTAGAAGTTTAAAATAAGTAGTTTTTTAGTATAGAATATTATCCGTTAACCCAAAACAAGATTTTTAAATGGACTATTTTTCTACCATTTACTAAAATTTATTAAAGTTTAAAAGACTGTTTTATGAACAAGTTTAGAAATGATCAGTGTAGAACAGACCTGTATCATATGAGTCCAGACAGCTAGCAATAACAATTATTATTATAATAATATTAATAACAACAACTATAATAACTAAGTATAATCACTTTTTCTTTAATTTCTTTCAATGATGGGTAAAGAAGTTCTTTAGACAAAAGATTTTGCATCATTCCTTGCATCATATTCATAAAACTTTCAGCACTTTCATCAGAAATGTTGTCATTAGTTCCCATTTCAGTTTTAACTTGTCTAAAAATTTCTTCGAAACCATCCTCACCACTTGCTGTCTTAAAAAAATTAAATAAAATATTAAAACAATACAACAACAACAAAAAATTAAAATAATATCTTAAAATATATTTATATTTTTTAATATTTGAATCTTAAAACATTCGACTTTGCTGGATCATAACCATGTTACTGCAGTTACTGGGTTAACTTACATATATAGTTACAACTAAAAAGATCTCACCACCCAATATTTATAGCAAAAAACCTTTTTTTATTACATAGTGTATGCATTTTAACTAGAAAACAATTTAATTTAAAAAAGAAACATAAAAGAATAATAAAGGAACACTATAAAACATGTTTTATTACTTTGTATGGGATCCTCAAATTTTAAAATAGCTTCTACTCTTCAGGATATGGAGGCAACAAGTGACTTATAATATTTAAGTATTAATTTATCAGATTATGCCTTATCCTTATGCCTATCCTTCATTCAGACTTCCGTTAAATTTGAACTTGTGCTCTAAAATTTCTATGACTTTTATATATTACGATTTTTATGTATATACACTTTAATATCTGATAAAATCTCTATAGAGCATGGTGCAACAAATTGTTTTTTTTTAACTTTTTTTATTGGTGAACATCTAATTTAAGAGATATATATGTCATATAAGGGAGTTTTATTTTCAAATAATTTTTATTCAAGTTAATAAGCTATTAGATATATCAAAGATGGTTATTGAATTTATCAATTTTTGTTTTTTAAAACAATTTACGCATTTACAAAGTGCGCACAAATTAAGGGGTCTCCATAAAGTATATATGCTCATAGGGTAAGAGAGGGATGCAGGATGGGTGATGTGGTGGGGTGGTGAGTGGGGTCTTTAAATAGCATAAAAAAGCGTATGGGAAGGGGGGGGGAGGGGAAGAGTTAAATTTAAAAGTACCTACTTCATTTTTCTAATTTATCACAATTTAATTATTAATAAGTACTTGTTAATAAGGAAAACCATACTGTATCATCGTTGTTCATAATTCACCAGCTAACCAATAGAAAATTTATTTTTCTGACTAAAGATCCTAGTTTGCTTTCATAAAAGGATGTATGATATAGGGGAGTCGAGGGTATAACATCACCTTATGCACACACATTCCACCCTTTATACACAGACACTGAATAAGGCAGACTAACTTCAAGCAACAAAAAACAGGTTTTAGCAATGCCATACTAATGGGTTGAAGGCCGCCCAAAAACCTGTGATTAGGGCCCCAAAATCCTTAAACTTTTACCGCTAGGAATTGCTAAAAAAAAAAAAGGTTCTTAAATTTGCAAAAGGCCCCAAAACTTGCTGGACCCTCCAATTGGGCCTAGCCCCGGCTCAGGGTTTTAGGCTTTGTTTTCAATATTACTCATCTCGCATAAGACTGTTTTTTTACAAACTTACTAAAGAGGGGTGCTTAAAAAAAAAACATCTGCTCTGAGTAAAGTTTATTTTTATTTGATTTGTCATTAAAGCAATTTTTTTTTAATAAAAAGTAAATTATGACTTGACTGCGATACGATCTTGGATCTCTAACATGGAATTGCTTGCAATACCATTAATGCCAAACAAACAAAACACCCCCCCCCCCACACTTAATTTGTAGAATTACATCTGTATATATGTATGTATATACCTGTATGTGTATATATATATATACATACAGGGCTTTAACGGTCGGACATTGTCTGGCTAAATCCTCAGATTGTCCGATCAATTTACAAAGTCATCAGACATTTTGTCCGACAAGATTTTTAATTCTTTAAAATAAAATTTTATTCGTTGATTTGTAATTGACAAATTTAAACTTAATGTAAACTATTAGACAAACTTATAAAATATGTTGATAATGGAAGCATTCATTCCCAAAAAAAGCGCTGTTATTAATTGTAGTTTTAGTGACTGTTTTTTAACAGTTTTATTGTTATATTAAATTTAAAACTATTGCTTATTTAAAACGATTGCAAAAGTCAAAGTATGTACGATTGATTACTGCAAACGCCGTGGACATCGAAAAGCAAAGAAAAGCTAGTAGTTTGAAAAATTTGATAATAAAAGATTTTACAAATGTGTTTTTTTAGACACTGAGATCTCATCGATGAAATATTTTTAAAAAAACATTAAGAAAATATACATTTAAATATTAACGTTATAATCATCCAAATCATTCTATTTTAGTCTGAGCAGTTTCTCGGTGGCATCCTGGTCCTACTCGAGTTTTCCGATTATTTATTATTCATTTTTTAAACTATATCTTTATTTGTATTTTTTTTCTAATTATATATATATATATATATATATATATATATATATATATATATATATATATATATATATATATATATATATATATATATATATATATATATATATATATATATATATATATATATATATATATATATATATATATATATATATATATATATATATATATATATATATGTAAAAGATTAAAAAGTTCTAGCTTTATAAAACTTGTCTGCCAAAGAACAAAGAAAGAAAGTGTGCCTTTTTGAAAAGTAGATAAATAATAACCTGTAGAACTCATAAAATTTTTTTCGTTGAATTGATCGAATTTTAATGACATGCAGCGCTTGGAATTTTAAAATTAAATAACAGCTTGTAAATATTATATTGCGTTTGATTTAACCGCCTTTAATTTAATTTCATTTAAAATACAAAGATCTACGATGATAAAAATTCTGAATATTAAAAAAAAAAACTACAACTTCACTAGCCTAAAATAAAATAAACTATGAAAATTTATAACATATATTTCGATTGGATAATTGGGTTCCGTAAAACTCAGATACGCCAGAAGCTAGTCTAAAAAAACCCATCTGCAGTACTTTTTTCCTGTGTTCCTTTTAACTAAACAAATATGAGTATATGTTAATTTTGGTGAAAATTATTTGTTTAAATTTTATTTCAAAAATTTGAAATAAAAACCTTATTAAAAATTAAATTAAGCCCTGTATATATGTGTGTTTATATATATATATATATATATATATATATATATATATATATATATATATATATATATATATATATATATATATATATATATATAAACACTTACATGAATATGTACAACATAAGCAAATGAACAAAGAGTCAATAAAATCTCTGGAAGATAATGAAGAAAAATTACAACAAACGAAGAAGAAATTGCCCACATAATAAATGAATATTTTCAATCAGTATTTATCACCGATACGGATGAACAAATGCTGCAATTCAAAAATAGAACGGAAGTTAAATGCAAAATAAACGGATTCTCAATAAAACAATCATGTCAATCAATGTCAGAGAAAAGCTCGAAAACCTAATAGAATTGAAATCCAAAGGTCACAATGGAGTACACCCCGAGTGTTCAAAAACTGTTCCTCTGCTTTTGCTGTGCCACTCACACTCATATTCCAAAAATCTTTTGCTGAAAGTCATATATCTGAATTATGGAGAAAGTCAAATATCACACCGATTTTTAAAAAGTAAACAAAAAAAAGCTAACTATCGACCGGTATCTCTAACATCTGTCTCTTGCAAAGTAATGGAGAGTTTTGTTCACGATATCATAATGAAGCATTGCATCGTAAATAACCTAATCACTAAAGACCAGCATAGTTTTCTTCTGGGACGAGGTTGTGCCACTAATTTATTAGAAACAAGAGACATTAACAAATGCAATTTCCAAAGGTTATGCCATAGACTTTATCTATACTGACTTTGCAAAGGCATTTGACAAAGTATTACACAAGGGACTACTTCATAAGCTTAAATCATACGGTGTATGTAGAACTCTACTTGAGTGGATAGATTACTGGCTGGTGAACCGACAACAAAGAGTAACAATCGGTAATCATAAATCAGATTTGAAGAAAGTCACAAGTGGCGTTCCACAGGGTTCAGTGCTTGGACCTCTATTATTCATACTCTATATAAATGATTTACTTGATAATATAGCACATCAAATTAAAATGTACGCTGATGACAGCAAGATTATAGGCTTAATAAAGAGCAAGGCAGACGCTGTAACGTTACAAAATGATATAGACGAAGTAGTACGTTGGTCCAAAATATGGCTCATGGAGTTGAATGTGGCAAAATGCAAAGTTATGCATGTTGGACGCCTAATCAACAAATTGACTCAAGACTATACAATACTCAATCAATTAGGAAACAGAAAAACCCTTGAAAGCACCAATAATGAAAGTGATCTGGGAATAATCGTTTCTCATGACTTGAGAGTGAAATATCAAGTAGAAGCGGCATCAACAAGAGCCAGTTGTGTGTTAGGCTCTCTTAAAAAAGCTTTTAGAAGCAAAGGACTTTCCTTGTGGAAAGTCTTGTACACCATATGTCAGACCACATCTTGAATTTGCTATACAAGCTTGGTCTCCACATCTACAACGAGATATAATTATGCTAGAATGCATTCAACAAAGAGCAACAAAAACACAGAAATCAAACATAAATCATATGAGGAGAGGCTCCAAATCCTTGGACTCACAACTCTTGAAGAAAGAAGAAATCGAGGTGATTTGATTTAGCAATTTAAAATCATTCAAGGCATTGAAAAAATAGAATTTGCCATACCACAGGTGTATGCGCCATCAATAGTAAATTACTGCCTACGAGGACACAACCGAAGATTAATAAAGCAAGTAGTCAAAAATTGCGAAGAGAGGAAGCATTTCTTCACTAACCGCATGCTAAATGCATGGAACTCGCTTCCTGCAAAAGCAGCATATGCAGTCTCGTTAAATTCCTTCAAGGATTACATTGATGGAAAAATAACAAACAATAGACACAGCGCGTGTCTTTAAGCACTACTTTATTAGAATTTTTAATAATTTTTGTATTGTAAATTTCTAATTCTGAATAAAAAAATTAATTAATTAATTAATTTACATATATATATATATATATATATATATATATATATATATATATATATATATATATATATATATATATATATATATATATATATATATATATATATATATTACCTAAGGGAGGAGAGATCTGCAAAAAGCATTCAATTTTTGGTAAATATACTTTATGGGCGACCCTCAATGATAATATGCAATGACCTAATGATTGTAAATTGTTATCCATTGATACTAGTGAATTTTTATTGATAAATAGTGAATTTTTCTTAATTTAGTTTGTTAAATTTATTCACTAATAAAAAAACATATAAATTTGAAGAAACTAAAATAAAAGGAACTAAAAATAAAAATAAAAAGTTTTAACATTTCTTTTTTCAAACTTTTAAAAATAATATCATAAGTATTTAATAATAAGTTAATAAAAATATAATATCATTGGCGCTGTTAAATGCACAACAAAAAATAAAAACTATAATAAACATAATAATTCTATATATTCTATTAGATTATATATATTTTAACAAAACTTTTGTTAATGCATGCATAAAGCATGCTAAAACATAATTACTTTTTTCAATAGCGTACTTAGTTATTGTACTTAAAAGTAACGCTATTGTAGAAAGTAATTATATTTTAGCATGGTTTCTTTTAAAGTCTTAAAAATCTGTTTTAAACTTTAATAAATAATTGTTTTGCATTGTAAATATGCAGCCTTCAGAATTAGGGTCAGCATTTGCCAACCTAAAAGTGTTTAAGATTGGCAAAAAATTGCTGACCTTATTTCTATGCTTTATGGTAAAACCTTTTTATCAATTTTTTTTTGACAACCTTAAGCAAGTTAAGGTCAGCAAATTATTGCTGACCATATTTTTTCTAATTCTGAGGGCTAAATTTTTTATAATAAATAAAAAACTATCAACTTCATGACTATTTGGAAAAAAAATTGTAAAAAAGTAATGTGTTCATTTTGAAAAATTTAAGACAAAGCCAATGATTGCTTAAGCAAAAGTAAAAAAATGTGACGCTCATTTTTCTGTCTTTTTTTTATTAGGTGTTCACACATTTGTTGATTTGTTGTGCCCTGTAGAGAGTATATAAGACATTTTTCTATTGGTTAATAAATATACAATCACCTAAGCAACGCATGATTGTTTAATGTTGCCAGCACGCATATTTTATATTTATAAGTAATTATTTATAAAAAATTTTCAAAAAATAATTTTCTTACTTACTCCCATTTCATGAAAGCTTTTCGTCAACTCCTCCATTGTTTTTGCAATATTATCATCAAAACTAGAATTTATGGATCCTTCTAAAAAATGGAAAGTTATAAAAAACAATCATAAATAAATTAAAAAAACCAAATAAATTAAATATGCTGTTTGTCATTTAGAATAATTTATTATTTATTACAATTTATAATAATTTATTAAATTTATCTAAAGATATCTAAATAAAAAGAAAGAATTTTCAATTTTACTTAACTAAACTTTAAATACAAGGACTTTAAATAATTTTTATTAAAAATGTTCAAGTACCATTTTGTTCTTGAAACTTCCTATATTCTTCAAAAAGAGCAGGATCTTCCTTCGACATTTCTTCTAAAGCTTCTTGAATGCTTCCAACCACATCAAACATGCCATCATCACTTTGCAGCAAGTTAAATAAAGGATCATTGTCTATTTTATCAGTGTCTGTTTTAGGTTTTGTAGATGAGGATGTTGAAATAGGCTTATTAAAATCTTTTAAAGCATCTGAAAAGAATTTTAAAACATAAAATTTATATATATATATATATATATATATATATATATATATATATATATATATATATATATATATATATATATACACTATATACTATATATATAATCCTAAAACAATTTTTTTTTGAATTACAAACCTTAAAAATTTAAATCTGTTTTCACATAACATATATAATTTAATTTTTTAATTGTTTTTATTTAAAACAAACTTTTTTGTATTTATGGCATGGTACTGGACCACTGTGTAATGATTACTAAAGAATATACCAACTAAACTTTATATAAGTATATAGCAAATTTTATGACTTGACTACATAACATGTTTTAAGCATATCATTATCAGTGTAATTAAAATGTGTATACTAAACAACATTGAAATGATATATAAGTATCATTTCAATGTTGTTGACTGTCAGATGATTTGGCAGCAATTTCTTCTTTAGAAGTTTGGCAGCACTTTCTTCTTTAGAATTTTTTTATTAGACTCAATTTTAAAAATCTTAAGATTAAGTGAGGCCATGAAAAAGAACAGAGATCAGATGAATGTACTGTCTCACACTAAAAGATAAGAAAAGAGGCGACAATCTTAGACGAAGATTGGGGACAGTGTGTATCTAATAAAGTGGCTCCAGGGAGATTGGGCATGAGGTAGTTAGGGCATGTAGAGCATAATGATCTAGATTATTGGGTATCATTGGGCATCGAGGTTAGAAGTTTCAGGAGAAAAAAGTAGGTAGTGGTAGGAAAACTAAGAAGACCGCACTACAGTTTTAAGTGCATTAAAGTTTCAAAATTGGGGAGGTGAATAAAATAAGCAAAAAGTATTGAAGAAACAAAAATATTTTTAGTTATAAGCTAAAGTATTGAAGAAAAAGTGAGAAAAAAAATCAATGATATTGTAGTAACATACCTAAAAAAATTAAAAAAAGATCGGTCACACACTCAACATAGTTTTATAGTTAACTATATAGTTATGATATAACACATATAAGAATATTAATTCAAAAAATCAAAAAATAAATAGTTGATTTGGATTAGAACAAAATTATATTATATAAGATGTATTTTTTAAATAAATGCCTTTAACATGAATATATAATTTACTTTTTTAAAAATTCATCTCAATTTTCTTCATTAAATTCAACAAGAAAACAACTATATAGTGGTATTTTGAAAGTTATTTTAAATTTGAATTTGTTTGAAAAGATGCAATTAAATAACTCTATAAATAATCGATTTTTGAACAGGTCTTTGTAAATTTTAATAATTTCCCGTTTTAGGTTAACATATAATGAAAATAAAAATGTCTGGAGCTGACAAAGAATAAAAAAACTGACAAAAAAAAAAACTGACAAAGAATAGACCTAATTTTAATGAAAATAATAAGTTGTTAAATGATTTTTATTACAGAACAGACATGAAAAGATGAAACTACTCTGAGGGAAAATGGAAAGAAAAAAATGCTAAGAAGATATATTTTGACAATGTTTTTGGGAGAAGTTCACTCAATTTTTCAATCAACCTATGGAGAGGTAATGATTTTCTCTGCATTTTGAAAGCTAAGGTCTAAAGAATACTTCTTTTAGAAGAAACACCTGCAGACCAATGTAAGTTTGCTAATTACTTAAAGCATGACCCATCATCAGAATTTAAAAATTAATTTATGATGAAATTACTCAAACAATTATCTTTGGAATATAATAAAACGTTTGATTGGAAAAATTTCACAACTTTCTATAGAAAAGGGGTTTTAGATAGTGGTGGAGAAAGATCCTTGTCGCTTGTTCAAATGAAATGTATGAGCAAGAATAAGAAAGTGTGTGCTCAAATGTCTATGGATTTTTTCAATGTTCTCAAACCATTAATGACAGCTACTAATATTCTCTATACTAGCAATGATAAAATTATAAGTAAAATAAATAACAAAAAACCTTGGTTAAAAGTCAAAAAAACACAGGAAACACAGAAAATCCATCATTTCAATAAAACAAAAGTGCTACTCAGTTCAATCTTTATTTCAGCTATGTTAAAAAAGTAAAAAAAAAAAAAACTTGTTTTAAACATTTTAAATTATTAAAAATTTACACAACGTCACACGCATAACAAAACTTGTCACACATGTAACACGGGGGTTTGTAATTTATTTTTATGAAGTTAGTAAAATTATGAAAAATAAAAGTATTATTTATAAATATCAATAACAAAAAAAAATCATTAAACTAATCATAGCCAATTAGCAGAAAAATTTAATCAAAAATTTAAAATTCAAATTTATTGTTTTGTACGCGACACACACATAACATAACTAATCAGAATTATTTGAAAGATGATAATATAGAGTGGAATACAAGAAGCGAACTTGAAATTTGAAGTCATACATCAAATCTGAAATTTGACTTGAGCATATGCAAAGCTACCAGCTTTGCATACACTCAAGTTGTATACAAATTAGGGCTGTACCAGATTTTGGCTCCGGCTCCTGCTCCGGCCGAAATCCGGCTATTTTTACAAATCCGGCATAAATCCGGCTCCGGCAAAAATTTAGCAAATCCGGCATAATTTTAGCCGGAGTTTTAAATTTTGTCAAATATTTATTACATTTTTTTTTGCCCGTGTTTACATGTATACCTAATATTTTATTTATGAAAATCAATTTTTTTTGTAATTCTATATTTTATGAACCTCATATTTTTTTTGGTATTTGTATTTATATTTCTTTATAACTTAATAAGCTTAGTCTAATTTCAAACAACAACGCAACAAAAAATTCTGAAGGGAAGACACACGATATTCTACAATGATGCAGGTATAAAGACTATGATGTCAACACTAATCAAGTGATTGGATGAGCGTTTTAAAAGCATTGAAAAGAGAAACCTTTGTATATACTGACAAGGCTGGTTGACTCACAATTTAAAACTAAATTCTCCTCATTACAGGCAACGCTGACAGCTGAAAAAACAAGATTGAAGTCAATCTGAGCATGCTGAACAGAAGATTGACAAAACTGAAGAAAATCCACCAAAATAAGCCGGGCTTAATAATTTTTCTACATCATCATCATCATTACTCTGGCAATTTATTGATAAAATTATTCAGTCTACGTCCGCTGGTGGCAGGGCACATAAACAACAATTACTAAAAGGCATTGAAACCCAGCTTAGGAAATATCCTAAAGAACCAGAAATAAATAGACACAATGATCCACTACAGTAGCGGAGTGAAAAAATCCAGGAAAAAAAGTTCAATAGAATTACTATAAACTTTTAAAACATATGGCCTATAGAATTTCGTTAGAATTTCTATTAATTTATGTATAGAAATTGCTATAAAACTTTTTAAATAACAACAATAAAGTTTAACAGAAAACAGCAGTCACTTGGTATTCTGAATAGTCCACATTGTTGAACATGCTCAACACCAAGTAGGGATGTACAGGATTTTGGCTCCTGTAGTTTTGTTTTGAAATCCGGCTCCGGCTCCGATTCCGGCCGGATCTGTCAGTAGAAATCCGGCAAATCCGGCTTCGGCCGGATTTGAAAAAATTAAATCCGGTACAGCCCTAATACAAATGCATACTCTTTGCCATACAATTATCAGAGCAGATTGGCTGAATAGATCCTTTATATGGTACAAATGGCAGAGAAAAATTATAATACCAGCTGAATTCTTATATGTAATCTGCCATATAATTTGGCAGATCGCATGCACACAAAGCAATCCAATTCAAAAGCTCATCATAAAAAGAATCAATAGCTTAGAGACTTAAGTCTTGTGCACAAATTTTTATGTGTTAGGTAGTATATAACCTTCAATCAAACGTGACGCATTGTACCTAAATTGATTATTTCTACCATTAAGTTTCAATATGGAGTGCATTGTTTTTCATAGCATATTTGGCGGATCACAATACAAAAATTCTAACATTTGTTTTGCCAAATTATTTGGCAGATTCCTTATAAGAAATCAGCTTACTTTATAATCCAAAAGATTGCCTCTAATAACTTATTAGAAAAAATAAAATCAGCTGAATTCTTATTAAATAAGAAATTAAGCTGATTTTATAATCCATTTTGCTATTTGTACCATACAAATGATCTGTTCAGACTGAGCAGGAACAGACTGGGAAAAGCAAAAGGAAAAGACTGGGTAGGAACAATTGGCAGAGCAGAACAGATTGACTAAGCCTCAGTCAATCTGCTATGCTCTGCCGATTGTTCCTACCCACTCGAATCATTCATGTAGACAGCTTTAGGACATGATTAAGAACAATACTACATTAAAAAAAAAAGTAAAAGCCTAATATATAAGCCTATTTCAAGAGTAAATATCACAACCCTTATTATAAAGTTTATTTTACAAAATATATATATCAACGCTAACTTGACTACATAACTGAAATATCATAAAATTTTAATTGCATAATAAGTAATGTTTCTTTAAATCAAAAAAGATTTTTGTAACAGTTAATAACCGTTGTTATAATAATATCGTTAACATTAGCGATATTTGTTTCTTTTATTTAACTAAATTCATTGAGGGGTACGCTGTGGTAAGAAAAGTTGAAAAAAATACCTTAAAGAACTTTGCTTAAACTTAAAAAGACATTTCATCTCAGATGAAAATGATATTAAATACCCGCTATACCATAAAAAAATTAACCTTAAAAGATATCAAAGCTCTACCATCTAACAATGCATCAATATCATCTTCCTCGTCATGGTTGTCACATTTTACAACTTTTATAGGGTTGGATGCCGCCATATTTTCTTATAGCGGAGACGCGATCAAAGGTCTCGATCAAAAACACGAAATAAAATCTTTTTAAAACAAAATTTATAATTGTATAAAGTTTTATTTTATAAAGTTAATAATGAGACATTACGACTAAAACACTACTACCAAAGAAGTAAAAGTGTCAACAATATATTTAATTTAATAAAATAATTATGTATGTGTTAAAGGAAAATCGAGTAAAAAATTAGTAAAAAATAGTAGGGGAGAGTGTGTATGAAAGAGCCAGGTTTTGAAAGAGCCGATGCCATTATATCTAACTTACTGGCACCCGATCATAAATTGTATTTTACTTTTTGTGTGGCAACGCTGGATACCTGTCACCCACAAAAAATTTAGAGTTCTACTAAAATAAATAGCGTCGTAAGGATGCACTAAAAAATTTGAAAATAAAAAGTAATTTTTTTGGGATTTACTTGTTTATTTTTAGGATAAAGAGTAATGTGTTATTTGATAAAACATATATGCTGCATTGCTATATATATTTGTCCTTCTTTTCCACAAAAAATATCAGATTAAAGTTTAATTTCAAGTTATTGTTTTTACCATACCATTTTTTGAAAGAGCCACTTTTTTATGCTATGAAAAAGCCGGCCTTTTCTATTTAGCTTTTTTTTAACTAAATAACTGTTTTGCTCCTTATTTAACCACTCTACATTAACATATATATATTTTTTTCGTCAATAAACAATCATTTTACAATACTTTTTGTAAAAACTTAAAATTGGCATAACTGCTATTTTGGCATACGTGCGCCAAACAAATTTGCAAACATTGGCATAAGTGCGAACTGGCATATGTGCGAATTGGCATAAGTGCGAATTACTAACTTGCACTTACGCCAATATTTGAAATTTTATTCGGCGCGTTTGTTTGGCACAAGCGCGCCGAATAAAATTTCAAATATTGGCGCACTTATGCCAGTTCGCATATATGCCAATTCGCACTTATGCCAATGTTTGCAAATTTGTTCGGCGCACTTATGCCAATTCGCACTTATGCCAGTTCGAGTTTTTGCAACTGCTTCGCACTTATGACAGTTCGCACTTATGCCAACTTGCACTTATGTTAATATTTGCAAAATGTTTTGGCGCACTTATGCCAATTCGCACATATGCCAGTTTGCACTTACGCCAGTTTTTGCCATGCTTCGCGCTTATGCCAGTTCGCACATATGCCAATTCGCGCTTATGCAGCCTCCCGTTAAAAGACGTGTTAGTTTTAGAAAAAACGTTACGGCTCATTCATAGCACAGAGTGGCTCGTTCATTGATAAGATGTTATGAAAGAGCTGATTTCTCTTTTTTTTAAAAATAGGTGTATGACAGGTTATTAGTATTGTTATCCAGTTTATTTTATTTTTATAATATTACCCAATAAAGTAACTATTTAAAAAAAAAAAATGTTTTTATATTAATCAAAATTGACTTTTTTTTCATACCTCTTTCATACACACTCTCCCCTACTATAAGGGAAAACTTTCGCTTTGCAATTTTGTGAATAAAGTCAGCTGCAAATTTTAAGCTTTTTTGGTTCATTTTCCATAAAAGTTATTTCTGAAAAGAAAATGTTTTATGTGGTGGGAATTTTTTACATTTTATTATAAAAATCAATTTGCCTTAATACTACCGGTGGAGAAATACTATAAAAAGTATTTTAAAAATAATTTTAAATGTAAAAGATTCAAAAACCCTCTGCGCAAACTCATTTTTTTAAAATGAAAAAATTTTTCAAAAATCAACTGTTGTAACAGATGAGAAAAGACTTGTTTTTAAACGAATGACCTTTATAAACTAAAATATTAGTTAAAAAAAACAATAATAATAATAATAAGTAACAAATTTACATAGGGTTGAATAAACCTTAGGATCAGTGTTGTGGCTAGAGGGTCAGAGCCCACCCCCTCCCAACCTGTCAATAGGACAATTAAATTTTAAAAAATCTTAAAAACCTTCCATTAATAGATGTATTACTAAAAAAATCCTTATATTCGGAAAAGGACCTCTAAATTTATAAAAGGACACCTAATTTGCAGGCAATGCAATTTATCTAACATGGCTAGCCTCCATGCTAACAAACTATGCATAAAAAATGTGTAACCTAAGGAAATGATATTGTATGTTGAGTTCTAAATTTTTAGTTATAAAACTTGGAAAACTACGTCATGGAAGTAAATATAGTTCAAGCACTAAATTATTTTATTACATTTACACACATAGACAAATCAAAGTTTATTACAGTGTCTTAGAAATTTGACCTCTAAGATAATGACATTTCTTAGAAAATATAAATTAATTTTTGCAAGCGACCTTTCGCACACCTCATTTGTGTAATCAATGTCTAATGGATAATCATTCCAAATTTTAGACACTCAAGGCAATTACCAGTTAATGCTAATTTTAACTATGTTATATTGTTCAACATTTCTTCTGCAAGAGAATCATGGGTTTGTCTAGTAATCTATTGCCCGCCACTATTATTGATTCTTTTTTTGTCTGAGTCAAAAGCATATATTTCAAGCAATAGATAGCTCTAGAGTTCCATTGTGCATTTGAAATAGATCCAGGTTTAGAAAAATGAATCGGGGTTAGATTCATTGAGTCTCAATAAGACTTGTATTTTTTACAAAACAAATTCAGCTGCGTATAATCATTCCCGTAATCTTTTTTACTATTAATAACTAGCCCGCTAGACTTGTATTTTCCAATTAAACTATGGCAGTAACTAATCAACTAACTAATGAACCAGTAGATGATGTTGATAAGTAATCAAACTTTGAGTTTATAAAATGCTCAAGAATTAGGTCGAGAACATGAAGTCGACGAGGATGATACATGATGATAATATTGTGCAACGTTATAAAAAAAAACAGAGTTGCCTTTCTCTAATTTTTTCAAAGATCTAACTAAAGATTTAGATTTACTCAAAATGAAAGTGCTTTAATAACGTTGTTTGTCTATGCTCTTACCATCAAAATGTAAGTACCACATTTCTTCAGATGAGTCAATATAAGACCGAGTCAAGCTTAATTCATGCACGAGTGATGTAGATGCTATTTGGACTGCAGATCAGAAAACGATGTTTTACCAACTGCATTGAGTATAGTTCTGCAATCTTTGCCGCACAGCTTACTGGATACCCTTCATTTTCAGATATCTTAGCTAGCATTTTACCGGTGATGTTTGCACGTTTAAATATGATTGTGTAATCATCACTTGTATTATTATCTTCTGAACTTTCGCTACTAGAATTATCTGTATCATCAAACAGTTGACTATAATTTGTTTCAAGTGCTTTTCTTTTAGATGGCAGGTCTCGCAGATGTGTTGTAATAGGCTCTGTCACAATACTGCATTGTCCTTTGCACCTATCGGAAGATTTCTGAAGTTTATAAAAGAGTTTGTCTCACAGATTTTTAAATTTAGCATTTTTAGGCAGTAAGTCAAATAGTTTATCCCAGCTATTTATTATACTTGTGTTTTTATTTGTAATTTGTATTGATTTAATAACAAATCTATAGATTTGATTGGCAGACTTAACTTTTCTTGAAACAGATTTCTTTATAAAACATGGTATTATCATTTTATTCCATAATTGACAAACTTCAATTGAGATTTATTTAATAACATCATTTAATTTAGGAATATTACCCAATTTTAAAAGCAAATGATATCATCCTAATATCTGATTTGTCTTGAATATTTTTGAAAAACCCATCCATTTGTCGTTTCTCAATCAAGTTTCCATATATACGATTTCTTGGCTTTGAAATATTGGAAAGGTGATCAACTTGTCCAATTAAATTATTCTCTGTTATCTTATACATCTAAAATAAAGCTTATATTTAAATATATACAATATATAATAGTTAAACAATGAGTTTCTCAAGCAAACTTTCAAATTTTTTGCGATATAATGGATGTTACGCTGTTTGTTTTTTGCGTTTATATAGTTTATTTTTATATTTTTATTTGTGAGTTTGAGGTAATGGCTCCGGGAAAAGATTACTACATCGGGAAAAGATTACAACATCCAACAACATGAAGTAGTAAAGTAGCATCCGCACATTTTTGTCCGCTTTTTTTCTTTACTGAATTAACATCTGTCTAACAACATCCGAAATTTCATTGATGTTTAATAACATCTTTAGAATGATGTAACTACATCTGGGAGTTTTTCTCGATGAATAACAACATCCGCCTAAAATAATGCATTATTAAATAAAATAAATTTCCGGACGTAGTTACATCCGAAAAAAATCAGATCTGTTATTATATCTGGTTGAAATAATGCATTTTTAAAATATTTTTTCCCGGATGTAGTTATCCGAAAAAAATCAGATGTGTAACTACATCTGGTTAAAATAATGCATTATTAAAAAAAAAACCCGGATGTAGTTACATATATACTTTACATATAAAATTATTATATTATATAAACGCTGTTACATCGACTGACAAAGTAGCATGACTTGCAATGGAGTGCTGCTAAATCGACTAACAAATAGTCTGATTTGCAACAGAAGCTGCTACGTCGACTGAGGGTTTTATTTGGGCAGGCAGTCTATCAAATAATTAAAAAAAAAAAAAATTTTATTATGCTTAAAATAATGCATTAAAACAATTTTTTTTGGCGGATGTAGTTACATCTGAAAAAAATCAGATGTGTAACTACATCTGCTTAAAATAATACATTATTAAAAAATATACTTTTTCGCATGTAGTTACTTTCGAAAAATATACAGAAGTAGTTGGACGGATGTTATTATAAATTTCGGATGTTATTAGAAAAAAGCGGATGTTATTAGAAAAAAACAGAAAAATTAGGACATTTCGGATGTTATTAGAAAAAAACGGATGTTGTTACGCTGACCCATTGCTCCACCAATAGTTATAGGGCCGTCACTGGAAAAAAAAATTCTCACCCCTAATGCATGTCACTTTTTTGAGTTCTAAATATGCAGAACCGTGGCTAGGTTCCCCGACACCCCCAATCGGAAGAGGGGGCGCCAGTTTTAAGGGATTTATCTAGAAATTTA